GCAAATTTCATTGTTTTCTCGTTAAGAACCTTGGCGGAGGGTTTAATGCTGTGTCCCATGATGGATAGACAGACGGGGGCAGGATCCAGACATAATTCCACTCGGAAGCTACAGCCTCACTCCAGCATGGTAACCTTAGTGACAGAGAGTACACAAGGGAAATAACTTGGTACTCCAGAATACACCACCTGATGTTGTGATCTAATGTCAACAAATTACTAGTGGAGATATAAATCTTATATTAAGTTATTCCCCTTGTCAGTTCTCCTGTCCCTGGTCAGTTTCAGATTTGAATTTACTTTGGAGATTTTAAAATGAAAATCAAGCAATTATCTGTACATGGATAAACTAGAAAATCATTATATCACTTAAAACAAATTAATGAAAATGTTGCAACATTCCCAATTTTAACTATAACTACATAGATAGTTTTTGCTAAGATATACAGTGCTGTAAACATTAATAATGTTCATGAAAGGTGTCTTTGTTGTTTGTTTTAATTAAGTTAAAAGGGGGCCGGGCATATTGCTTCCTACAACAGTGTTTATGGAGATAATACAATCGCTGTTACTATTTACTTATGTTGTATTGCCAATTGCCCTCTAGCTAAAGCTTCCTGTTGACCTTGCCCCTGTTAGCCTCGCCTCTGGTGACCTGATTTGACTCTATTATAGCTAGTGCCTCCTGTTGACCTGATCTGACCCTATATTTAGTGCACCTTATTGACCTAATCAGACCACATTGCTAGAGCACCCCCCCCCCCCCCCCCCCCCCCAACATTGACCTTTCCTCTTGTTGACTGGATATACCACCCTACAGCTATCCAGACAGAACACAAATGATACAGTTTGATAATAGCCTGTAACACTAATTGATGTGACTCGTTATCTAGATAAGAACACTTTATAGGCTAGCCTGTTTATTTTACGGCTGACCCTGCCCACCTGTCCAGACTCCATATCAATCCAGTCCCCCTGTGACTACACATCGCTAGTTAGCAATGTTAATGTTAGGTCATACTATTACCATTTAACTAGAAGTGACAAAACTCGGACAAACTGGAATCTGAATTGTAATCAACAGGGATGAATCGTATTTCAATATCAGGTACATATGTGGGGTCTCCGTAGTAAAAGTCTTACACTGATTTGCAGGACCCATTTCCTATGGTGATTAATTGAGGGCCACGTCAAAGACAATACAGCCGATCCCTGTGGAACATTTAGTTGGTGAACAGCTGGAATTGATTTTAGAATCCCACACAAATATCTGGAAATGTGAAGTGTGAACACTTTAATCCTTGTGGATTCAGATGGTACATAAACATTCTCTTTTTTTTGCCACAGTCGTGATACTTTCCTTGATTTGTGAAAAAACAGAATAATAATTAATATATCTTAATAGAAAGATAGATAAATCTCTAGTGGGTTTTTTAGGCTAATCAATTCTAGGTAGAGCTGATGTATGGTTCAAAGACAGGAGATATATACGATCAACACTTAACCCTTTCACCCCTATGTAACTTTAGTAGACTCTACCATGTATTGATCTGGATGAGTCCATTATGGTCTACAGTGGTGAAAGGGTTAACTGAAAGAGCTGATGTATGTATGGTAGAGAAAGTGGAGAGATTTTAATAATGAGGATTTTTATACAGGAAATTTATTTTATGTAAGGAATGATGGTATAAGATTATATAATGGCTAGTTGATGTTCCCCTTCCCCCTTGATGAGGAGGGGTGGCAGGTCCGGGAGACCAGGGGCGCCGCCAGCCAATACACAGGCTACTTCTGTGGTCCTAGCAAACAGAGCAATACTGTCCTCAGCAGCCAGCCAGCAGAACAGAACGAAAAAAACCATAAAGCAATTCTTGTAACTGACAAAATTAGAGTGTTTGGCTGGGTTTTTTTTATCAACTCTGTTTAAAAAATATTACACAAGAATGAAATTGAAAGGAAAGTGATAACACTGAGATTCTAGTTTCTGGCTCCTCCCTGTACAACTAGAATCAGCTTGGTATTGACCAAGACAGATCTAAAAAACATAGGGGCACAATCTAAGCAAATTTACATCAAAATGTTCCTGTTGACATGAACTATTTCTACTATCCCCAATAATCATTATGATTTTTTTAACTGTACAGACACTTTGCCAAGGTAAGATTAAATTTCAAACCATCAGTCCCTACTTGGTAAACATCTTTCATATTTCACAATGGAAAAGTCTGAAGACAAAAGAAGATAACCAAAGCTTTGTGTACAGCCCAGGATGGCTAGGATCCGTTTTCTAGCAGTCAGGATAGTTACATATATATGCTTAACAGACTTAAGGATACAGTAATACAAACAATACATTTTGTATTAATTGATCTATGTAGTCAAATTGTCACAAAGTTAGAAAGCTTTGTACTAGCAGACACATATGACATTTGATGTGATCTATGTGTCAAACAACAAACATTTATTCAGACCAACAAGATTGCCAAAGATCAAAATAATTATCCCTTAAATAAGAATTGATCAATATTATCACGCTTTGTGATGATAAAGATTTTCATGATCAATATAATCAAGCTTTGTAATGATCAAGATTTTCAAGATCAATATATTCAAGATAAGGATGATCGAGCTTGGTATTGATCAAGATAATCGAGCTTTGCAATGATCAAGATATTCAATATCAACATAATCAAGATTTGTAATGATTAAGATATTTAAGATCAAGATAATCAAGCTCGGCATTGATCGAAATATTAAAAATCAAGATATCAAGCTTGATACTGATCGAGATAATCTATTTTGTTAAAGAGTTGCATTAATTCAGTTAATTAAGATCAAATAAATCAAGCTTAGTACAGATCAAGATATAATCAAACTTTTTGAAAAATTTGTTCTGATCAAGATGACTAAATATGTACACTATCAGATCAAGATATTCAAGCTTTAATGATCAATGATAAAACAACGCTTCAAAACAATAAATCTATGAAGGTCTAAGATTTGAATGTGTTGAACATTACATATATTGATACTGTCATACATTTGTGCAAGCCAGACAGACACCTTTCAGAAATGACCTTGACAATAAATAACCTTAGGACACTTTGAAGCTGTGTAACTGTCAATCATCTAGTAGATCTAGACTAATAAGCCATGAATGCATTAATAATGACAAGGTAATTGTCAGCCTGTCTTTCCAAATAAGAGAAAAACATTTTACTCTTTCCAAATCCTACTGCTGATTGTAGGTTTACATTGTGGAGGTAGTTTTACGTAAGGTGCCTGTCAAATTCTTACTTCTTTCTTGTATGTATAAATTAAACTATGGCAACAGTTTCCTGACTGGAATACTCCAAGGTTTGTCAGGTCAATCTGACGACAATGATAGCAAAACATGGAGGATTGTTATATGTGTGCCCAAATTAGCGGGTCCTAAACCAGATAAGCTGACGTACCCACTCACTGTCTGCGGGAATACCACCAACAGGAAGTCAGCTGACAGCGCAGAAGTTTGCTGACAATCCAACTGATGATGCCCGAGAGTTCTGCTAATCTCGCCCTAATGCTAGCACATGCCGGTCTCGAGGCCTTGTTATTACCGAGCATATCACTTTTCACACCTAGCCATGGTATGTAGGACATCAAAATGCCAACCAAGACATGTCATCAACATTGAAACAAAATTTATTAAAAAAAATCTCAGATTTATCAATATACAATTAAAATGCAACAAATAATAAGCAGAATCAAAATCTATGTCCTATGTGATCCTATACATTTACCTGAAAGGGTAACACACCCGTTTTACTATATTTCTGGTCTTTGGAAGTCATGGAGTTTATACAAAAGATAAAAAAAATCAAAAATAAATCATCATCAATTTTTAATGGGGAAAATTTTTTAATAAAGAAGTACTGTTTTTTGGCCAGACAACCTCTGATTATTCATCAAAAATTCTTGAAGTTCAATAAGAATCTAAAATCAACTAACATTCAAGGTGAGTTTTAACCATGAATTTTTCATTTCCAGAAACAGTTCTAGACTATAAAGTTTGCAATTTAAAAATGGAGATCAATATAAACATGAAATTACATTCCAGTAAAGACAAGCCATCAAAAAGTTATTGGTGAAATATTTCTGTATCATGTGTTTTGACAGTCATGCCTAGACTGGGGCTGATTACCTGTATAGCTGCAAGATTTCAAGTGAACATAAACCTGACTTTTATGACCAAAATTGTTAATTCATCAAAATCCAGCTAATGACGTGGGTTGTTACAATGACGTGGGTTGTTAAAATGTCGCCTACTTTACAGATATGCAGAATTCAAAGCCCCCCACATATGCCACGTTAAAAATTTGTCCAGGGCGCACTCACTATCAATGACAGGTCATGCTACGTGCACCAGATAGATCGTAATGGTGCAGGTGCTACAAGCATCTGACGGTTTGACATATAAATATCTTATAACTTTACAACAATACTTCTCTCAATATTAGAGAATGCAGATGTGGTCCCATCAAATAACGTTTATATCATGTCAAAAATAATTTTATTTTGATGGTTGTATTTCAATCATGTGACAGCTGTGATGTGGTGTATTTTTGTATTTCGGGCCCGTACGTAGCTTTGGAAAAATAACAACGGTGGTAGTTATTGAAAGGGGATGGGGGCGGAAATAGCACTGATCTGACAATCAAATTTTATGATACAATCGTAAAGAAACTAAAAATATCAATTAAAATATGATTTATTTTTTATCCTTTATTATCAAGCTCTGAATAAATGCAATGCCTTAATAATGTTTTGCCCTAAAAATTTCACCAGGATTGTTCATAAATTTTTAAGTTTACGAAAGTGATTAATCAAATCCTTGTCTGCAAATGTTTCATGGCATATGCTAAACAATTCAACAACACAATCGTCAGTGTTTATGAATATTAAGTTAGATCAGGAGGGCCACACCAACCAAACACTGACAGTTAGTGCCAAGGAACTCACCTTGTACTGGAGAAGCGTAGTTGAGGACAATGGTGAAGGTAAACGTCAGAAGACAGTAATTCCACAACCTTCCAGGACCCACAAAATGGTATTCCATCGTAAAATAGTTTAACACCGAGTACGAAACACTAGTAAATCTGGGGACTCAATTCCACATGGGTAAGGTTTATATATCCACCGTTTTCTGTTACAGCTTCGTCTTGTACTTCAACGATCTCCGGTCAATTTGTATAAGGACTCCCGACGTCAGTATAAATATTTCCGTCTGATGTCTATCGGTGAATTCTACCTCCACGTGACAACCTGGAAAGGATGAAAGAGAACAGGTTAAGAACATCACCACATACAGTACATCAGCCATCCCACCGCCAATTAGTGACATCAAGTATTGATGGGCCCTACACCGCTCACAAGGGGGGCCTCATACTTATGAAATAGTCATAGAAAATGTCTGTTGCCGTGAACACACGCGCCATAATAGCGGTAACACAATGTCCCATAATCACAACATATATCACACATTATGTAATTAGGCGAGATAAGATGGTTAATCATACCACATTTAAATAAAATCCCATCATTTTACACGGCTGAACAATCAACCACATAATTCTATACATTAGAACGCTATTTTTATAAAACCTTCCAGTCTATTTCCTTCACTAATCATGCCACATTCAAATCTTGTTAAGGAGACCCACCTCACCATTTTATTTCACAATTTCTACAGAGACAGGCATGACCATACATTTCTATTCCTAAAGTATTACACCCATGTACGGACGTCTATCCAGTCCATCCCAGTATCTATGCACCAGTTAATGTCCAAGGTATCCTCATCCAAACCCTATTTTCATGATAATATCAGTACAAGACTTCATCCTTTTAAATTACATCCGGCAATATTAAACAAGTAAATGCAACACTGAAATATTTATACTTTTATTTGAATATTCCTTTTTAAAGAAATCAACAGTCCATTACCACTTCCTGTGCAGAAGACTTTAAAAACCTGTTGCCATATCCAGAGAATTTTGTACACTACCGTCTATGTATACTGAGACGGAACCTCAGCGACAAACATCTTATATCTACTATGATATCATATGCACTAGATGCCTTAAGGTTTGAGTTATAGCTGTCGAGAAGAGAAAATCAATGTGATGATTAAACCAAGAGATCACTGATATGTCCCACATGAATCTGTGAGAAATACTTTAACACATAGAATTAGCATAGAATCTATGAAACATATGATTTTTTTCACTGACCCAAATTTTCATCACTTTACAATAGACAAAATAAAGGCTAGCCTTAAGTTGACTCATGCTTTAAGTTAAATACGTTGGTTACTGATGTGTTTGCGAGGAAAACTTTAATATCGGGGCTATCATAAGTTTACGCTCTATTGGAGATATTATACACATGGATTTTTAAACTTGTTCAAACACTCACGGCAACCGGGTCGTTGCACCTCACAACAATTACACATCCTATAAAAGTCAATTTTCTGTGAAACCGAACAAACAATGACCTTACACTAAATGTCCGAAAATATAATAACCATCACCTCATTCATCACCTTGCTGAACAGAAAATACAATAAAATTCATAATCTGTTGAGAGCTTGGTAAATAGAGAGGATGACTGTAAACACTCATGTGATCCAGACCACAACACAACTTCCCAGCAGACTGACCACTGGGAGTGATTGGCCCATCTGTCCAGTGTTTCTACGGTAACTACAGATACGATTCAGAATCCAACAATGCTTAAAAGTTCGTGACAACTGTTAGCTTATCTGTTCTGATTAGTATACTGCCAATAAATTTGTCAGACAATAAGCATGTTACTTTTGATAAATAGTAAAACATTGATGTCCCTCATTTACCATCTGGCTTACCAATATCTTTTTCAAGTTGTTCTTTTTTCTTTTTTCTCAACCAGTTTTTGTATACCTCTCCATTGATACATAGCCTAATCACGTTATAATACCAACATTTCACTGGAAAAGTGGTGAAGTATAACAAGATTTTACTGTATTTAATATCTTTGGTGACTACCTATAGTTTTACTTGACTTAACTCTGTCACCACTACAATTAGTTTCTGAAGAGACTGCTGTTTCTACAGCCAATAGATGTAGAGTAGACCCCTGCTGCAGTAGAGTAGTTCGTCTTTTAAGATCACCTCTTCTGCAATAAAGTATTTTTTATATTCAGACCATGTCCCTTCTGCAGTAGAGTAATCCATCTTTTGATACCATCCCTTCCGCAGTAGATTAATCCGTCTTTTGATACCATCCCTTCTGCAGTAGAGTAATCCGTCTTTTGATACCATCCCTTCTGCAGTCGAGTAGTCAATCTTTTTAGACCAGTGACCCCTTCTGCTTATAGAGCAGTCTTTAGTGTAGGGTGTCAATTTACCTCCATATTGGACCTATACATGACCTTCTAAAATGGCTTTTGACTTTCAAAATGTTAGAGGCTTGCCACCTTCTACCAGTAAAATAGTTTGGCTTTTAAGACCATCCCTTCCCAAAAGAGACAACCTTTTTTGCCAATAGTGTAGTCTTTAAAAAGTCCTTAAAAGACATCCACTTTTGCCAATAAAATAAAATAGTCTTTTGAGATCAAACCCTTTTGCCAATAGAGTTGTCTTCAGGGACAATCTCTTTTGCAAATAGAGAAGTCTTTTAAAACATCAGCTTTTGCCGATAGAGTAGTCTTTTGAGACCACCCCTGGTCTTGTACCAATAGATTTGTATTTTGAGACCAACCATTTTAATAACAGAGCAGAATTCAGGGACAACCTCTTTTACCAATAGAGTGAAGTCTTTCGAGACTGCCCAATCAGCCAATTTAATAACCTGTCTTTAGAAACCATTCCTTATGTTTATAAACTAGTGAATAATTATTCTGCCTCGAACTGTTTTTCCTGGACAGGTGATAATAGTTCAGTCAGCTTAAAATGTAGTTTAATATTATCCAGGGATTGGTATTTGAAGCCAGGCTCTACGTATTGTAACTGGTACACCAATCATTACAGTAGAAATTTAACGCACAAAAAAATAATGATAACTTTATAATTGCACAGTATATCACTTGAGGCTCATTGTGAAGCATAATTACAGCAGTTAACACACTTCTTCAATGAGCAACTATATCAATCCTTCTCTGCCAGATCATATTACTCCACTTCAAATTGCCTGCATCCTTCCTCTGCTAATGATGCCAGGGCTAGAGGATCTGTCTCTACCTGTGTAAGCATATCTTTTCAACTTACCTTGATTAGCTATCTCATGACATCTTCTTCCCTAATACAGGTACAAACAGACTATGCATGCTCTAAGTTGACTCCCCTTATCAGGTGATCACAAATAACACTACCGAAGCACAAACAGCAAACAAGTGTCAATATCGGAATCCTAATTAAGAAGCTTAGCTTGCATATGTCAACTTAAGATGTTCAGTGAATCCATTGTCCAGAACTTGACCTTTCTTTGAGGATGTCTTTATGCTGTGGAGACATGCTACCTGTCCATACTGACCACCATATGCCCTCTACCTATCGATTATGTATATTGTCGGTAGTGTCCTGTTCAAGTACTGACTTATAAAATCCATACAACACAACCTGTGTAGGTGTTCTACCCTCTATTCGCGAATCTGACTTACTGTAACTAGCTAGTAATCAGAATCAGAAGTGTTATTACACCTGACAGATTCACAATCAAACTAATGCCACTCTACCCTCTGTGTGGCCATAACAAGAAACTCACACATTTCACCTCCATGTAATCTGTGTCACAGACTTGAATTACCGAATAAGTACACACATCTCTCGAAGTCAATTTCTTCAGTAGATCCTTGGGAGTTTTTAATTCAGAAATTAAAAACGTGTAAAAAGGTTGCTGTGAACAATTTTATACAAACTGTATTAATCCAGCGACATGTCACCAACTTACTGCGTTTCATCTGTTACAGCCTCAGGCAGACCAAAAATTAGAAAGGAATAAAATTCTGCGACTTGAAACACATCGAAGAAGCCATAAAAAAACCTTTCCACGACGAAGCCAGAGATCCAATAAGTTGTCTTAACGACCAACCCTAATCAATTAGATGTGTAAACAGTGTGCCCAACAGTAGGATAACCCATAATGCAGTTTGAATAAAAACTAAAATCTTACAGTCCTGTGGACAGTAAGAGACAACAGGGTAACCTTTTATGCGGGCACCATTTATGTCTAACGTCACCACTTTACATTATGCAACGTATGTTGAATGAAATGGTTCCAATACATTCTAATTCCATTAATTCCACAGAGCATAACAAAAACGTTTCCACCTAATCTTGGGAAATGTTGTTGTGAGAATCTTGCAAAAAAATTCCAACAAGTTACATTTCCAACAGCTACGTATCTAACAGTAACAGCTTTAAACAGATGAAAGGGGGTTTTACACCAACAGTAACAGATGTAAACAGATGAAAGGGTGTTTTACACCACCAGTAACAGATTTAAACAGATAAAGGGGGTTTTACACCAACAGTAACAGATGTAAACAGATGAAAGGGGGTTTTACCCCAACAGTAACAGATTTAAACAGATGAAAGGGGGTTCTACACCAACAGTAACAGATTTAAACAGATGAAAAGGGGTTTTACACCAACAGTAACAGATTTAAACGTATGAAAAGGGTTTTTTACACCAACAGTAACAGATTTAAAAAGATGAAAGGGGTTTTACACCACCAACAGTAACAGATTTAAACAGATGAAAAGGGGTTTTACACCAACAGTAACAGATTTAAACGTATGAAAAGGGTTTTTTACACCAACAGTAACAGATTTAAAAAGATGAAAGGGGTTTTACACCACCAACAGTAACAGATTTAAACAGATGAAAGTGGGTTTTACACCAACAGTAATAGATTTAAACAGATGAAAGGGTTTTACACCAACAGTAACAGATTTAAACATATGAAAGGGGGTTTTACACCAACAGTAATAGATTTAAACAGATGAAAGGGTTTTACACCAACAGTAACAGATTTAAAAAGATGAAAGGGGTTTTACACCACCAACAGTAACAGATTTAAACAGATGAAAGTGGGTTTTACACCAACAGTAATAGATTTAAACAGATGAAAGGGGTTTACACCAACAGTAACAGATTTAAACAGATGTAAGGGGTTTTACACCACCAACAGTAACAGATTTAAACAGATGAAAAGGGGTTTTACACCAACAGTAACAGATTTAAACATATGAAAGGGGGTTTTACACCAACAGTAATAGATTTAA